CTGTATGAAGAAAACTATCGTATGCTGATGAAAGAAACCAAAGATCTAAATAAATGAAGAGATACTCCATTTATGGCTAGAGTCAATACTAAGATGCCACTTTTTCCCAACTTGATCTACAGATTCAACACATCCCAATCAAAGTCCCAGCAAGTTATTTTGTGAATATTGACCAACTGACTCTCATGTTTGTATGGAAACACAAAAGGCCCCAAAATAGCCAACACTGTACTGAAAAGAAGAAGAACGTTGAAGGACTAGTATTACCCAACTTCAAGACTTATTATAAAGCTACAGTAATCAAAACATGTGGTATTGGTGAAAGAATAGACCAATAGATCAATGGAACAGAATAAAAGCCAGAAAATAACCCACACAAATATAGTCAACTAATCTTTGACAAAGGAGTAAAGGCAATTTGATGGAAAAAGCAGTCTTTTCAACAATGGTGCTAGAAAAACTGGACATACTTTTACCAAAAAAAAAAAAAAGGAAAGAACAAAGAATCTAGACATGGACTTTTTACAAAAATAACTAAATGGATCAGAGACCTAAATGTACAATACAAAACTAAAACCTCTAGAAGATACTGTAGGAGAAATCGAGGCTCTGGGTTTGGCAATGAGTTTTTAGATACAAAACTAAAAGCATGATCCATGCAAGAAAAATTTTATTAACTTGGACCTGATTAAAATTAAAAACTTCTGCTTTGCAAAAAAAACACTGTTAAGGGAATGAAAAGATAAGCCACAGACTTGGAGAAAATTATTTCAAAACACATACTCAATAAAGAACTTGTATCCAAAATATACAAAGAATTTAAAAACCTCAACAATAAGAAAAACAACCGAATTTAAAAATGGGCAAAAGAGGATTCCGGTCAAGTTGGCGGAGTAGAAAATAATATTGAATGTGAACTGTAATTGAAAACAAAAAAAAATGGGGAAAAGATCTCAACAGACAAAAAAGATATACAGATGGCAAATAAGCATAGGAAAAGATGCTTAACGTAATATGTCTTTAAGGGAATTACAAATTGAAACAATCATAAGATACCGTTACGCATGTACTAGACTGGCTAAGATCCAAACCACTGACGATGCCAAAAGCTGACAACACTCAGCAACTGTCTCATTGCTGGTGGGAATGGTACAGTCATCTTGGAAGACAGTTGGGGTTGCTTACAAAACGAAATATATTCTTAACATACGATCTTGCAACCGCTCTTGGTATTTACCCAAACGCGTTGAAAACATGTCCGCACACAAACCTGCACACAAAGCTGTTTGTAGCAGCTTTATTCGTAATCACCCCAAACCGAAAGCCACCCAGGAGTCCTTCCGTGGGTGATGGGACATACAAACGGTGGTCCATCCAGACAAGGGACTGTTATTCAGAGCTAAAAAGAAATGATCTCTCAAGCTGCAAAAAGACATGGAGGGACCCTAAAAGCGTATTACTAAGTGAAAGAAGCCAGTCTTAATAGCTGTATAGTGTCCGATTTCAATTCTATGACATTCTGAAAAGGGCAAAACTCTAGAAACAGTAACAAGATGAGTGGCTTCCAGAGTTCAGGGGGAGGAGGATGAATAGGTGAAGGCTAGGGAATGTTTAGGGAGGCAAAACCATTCTTTTATGTGTTGTATTGCTACACAAAACCATTACGCGTTTGTCAAACCCATAGCACTGTGTACAAGAGAAAGCGTGAACCTTAATTTAAGCTACTGACTTTAGTTAACAATAATGTATAAATATCGCTTCACTAATTATCACAAATGTACCATGTTAATGCAGGGAAATTGTATAGGGGCAGGAGTCAATGGGGACTCTTGTGCTATCAATTTTTCTGTAAGCATACTACTGTTGTAAAGCTTTTTAATATATTTTTATTAAGTTTTTAAAACATGAAGGCTAGGCATAAAAACAAGCATGTTGTGATGTAATGGGCGTTGAGTTTGGATTGGGGCAGTAAGTATGAAGCCCCTGGGGAGAGGGCCTGAGGTTTTGTTATTACTTTGGGGCCTCCAGGCCCCTTTTCAGGGCCTGACACAACCCCTGATAAAGTTTGGACAGTATGGGCAGGAACGTGAGAAGAGGAACTTTATGTGAGGTGATAAACTTCACATGTATTTTTTCTCTTGGGCCTCAGGACAGTGCCCTGTTTTCTTGAACTGTTTTGACATAATTTCAGACTTAACAGATAAATTGCAAGAAGAGTGCAAAAAATTCCCGTATTTCCCTTCCCCCAGATTCCCCAAATTTCTTCACACCCAACCGCATCCATTTCTGTCTTTTCTGTTTCCACCCGCATTTCACAACTAAGCAAGCAGGCCCAAGGAACAGGCCCCAATCTGGTTTCTTTCTCATCTTCATTCCAATAAGAACAACCATGGACATTGACGGAGCACCTGATCTGTGCCACGCATTGTCCCTGACACTTTTCATGGGTTTCAGCACTCTACCCGCACATGGCCCTCTGAGGGGGGTCTGTCATCATCCTTGCTTTGCAGATGTGGAAGCTGAGGCCCAGGGCCTGACCCATTTTGGGCAACAAAACCCCATCGTCGGTCAGGAGCTGAGTTGGTGTGCAGACGCGGGTGGTCTGGTGGCCAGCGAGGAAAGAGTGAAGAATGACTTAAAAGACGCAAAAAAACAGGGTGGGAGCACAGGGTGGGAGCCAGTTTGGGAGCCAGGCCAGGAGGCAGGACAGCTCAGGCCACACAGTCCCAAAGAGAGACTTCTGCTGTCATCTCCAGATGAGATTGGGCTCAAACTCAGACACACCAAGCCAGGACCAAAGAACTTTCTACTTTACAAAGGGAAGTGGGCGGAGTTCATTCTAGGCTGCCCAGGGTCAAGTACCAGCTGTGAGTGTGTGCATGTGACTGCAGGTGTGTGAGTGTGTAAGGGAGTGCTGCGTGTGTGAGTATATGAGTTTGAGTCCGTGTGTGGGTGTGAATGTGTGTGCATGTGTAAGTGCGAACATAAGTGTGAGTGGCTGTGAACGTGTGTGGTGTTCTAAGTACCTGCTGTGAATTGTGTATGGATAGATGAGTGTGTGAGTGCACGCGTGTGTGAGTGTGTCAGTATATGAGTGCGAATGTGTGTGGGCGGGTGAGTCTGTGAATGTGGGTGAGTGTGACTGTGTGTGAGCTTTTCTAGGCAGGAACAAACCCTTCTCTGTGCAGCAACCTGCTGGAGCTGCTGGGATGGGGCCTTTGTGGAATTCGCATCCAATGGGGAATTCCCATCTGCCCTGTGAAATTCACACCTGATGCCAGTTCCTACTCCCTCTGGAAGCCCAAGCTCCCTGTTCCTTCCTGAGTCCCCTTTGCTGCCCCATCACAGCATTCATTACACTCAGTTGCTTGTGTCTGTTTACTTGTCAGGGCCCAACCAGACCCCCAGGGCTAGGAAAGCAGGGGCTGGGTGTCTTTCTCTCTCCAGCCCTGCTCCTGCATGTGGAGGGAGGCATCAATAAATGATGCTGAATAAATAATTGTTTTTCCCACCCCTATGCCACTGCTCACCTCCAGCTGTGTGCTTATGCAGTCCCCTCCATCTGAATGTCTATCTCCTCCGCCCCCCCCCCCATGACCCTTAGAGACACCATTCAGAGGCCATCCTGGATTCCCAGGACGGAGTCACTTGTGGGCCGGTGGCTGTCTTGCCCATGTAGTTGTAAGGTCTCAGAGGGCAGTGCTCATGTCTGTTTCATATCTTCATACCTGTGTCCTCAGCACTTGTCACAGGGTTAAGCACACAGTAGGGCCAAGAAAGAATAAGTGTGTGAAGACTACTGAAAGAGAATCGAAGTTCTGTGCCCTCTCCCCTAGGAAGCCAGCCCTTACCAGAGGCTTCGCTGCTTCCCTGCTCACCCTCCACTCTCAGACCAGTATCTCCTTGAGGGCAAGGTGGGGTCAGGTTACTCTCTGGGCCCCCAGCCCTGCTGAGCCTGAGTCTGCGGATCTCCTACCTCACCTCCTTCGGCCTTCTCCTCCTCCAGGCTCTCCAGCCAACCTGGCCTAAAGGCAATCCCTAGACATGTTAAATTGGTTCCCACCCCAGGACCTTTGCACTTGCTGTTCTCGCTCCCTAAACTAGTGTTCTCTTATATCCTCTTCAGACTCTCAGCTCAAATGCCTCCTTCTCCAGGACACCTAACCACCAGCGCCCCCCGGCCTCATTGGTCCCTCTGTTTTACTTTCTTCTAATTTAGTGCTTTCCTTCCCTCCTGGCCGCATTGGGGCTTTTAGGGTGTCCCATAGTTAGTGGTCTATGGATCCTAAGTTCCAATGCCAGATCTGCTGCATGATTCTGAGCAAGTTTCTCCTCAGCGGTTCTGTGCCTCAGTGGTAATAACAGCGTTCCCTCCTAGGGTAGCTGTGGGGATTAAATGAGTCAATACATATAGTGCCTTAGCACAGGGTCCATCAGGTTGTACCAACTGTAGAATGAAGGGCCGTTTTACTGTCTACATTCTTCTGGAGCCTAGCATATTGTAGGCGCTCAGGAAACATTTGTGGAAGGAACAGCACCCAGCGGCTGTTGTGGGGCTTAGCAGGAGTGGGGCTGCTGGGAAGAGGAGACCGATTCGAGTTGCCCGACCCTCTAGCTCCAAACGCACCTGCCCACCTGCTGGCTCTGCGGGGTGAGGGGAGGGCGCGGCTGGAAGGGCAGCGGGAAGGGCGGAGGGACCGGCCAGAGCCCAGTGTGTGTGTGTGGGGGAGGCGGCTGGTGTGTGTGTGTGGTGCTTGTTGGGAGACTGGATTTTATTCTGAGAACTTGGGGGAACTACTGCGGGTTCTCCGCGGGGCGTGACCTCCAGCTGCTTCCGGGGAGAGGGGAGCCAGGGAGCGCCCCCAGGGGAGGTTAGCGGCCGGGTCTGGAGTGGGCTGAGGGGACAGTGACAGGGACACGGGATCTGGCGCCCTCCGCGTGGAAGTGGGGGTGCGCGCGGGCGGGGCGGCGCATGCAAATCTGGGGGCGGGCACCAGGCGGGGCGCAGGAAGCTGGGCGGACTGGGTCCCGCACCCAGGAAAACCCCGAGTGGCGTCGCCGGGCCGGTCCAGGCCACCCCGCAGTCCCCACTTCCCGCTTGGGCGCTGGCTCGGCGAATGGACCCTGAGCGCGCAGGTAGGACGCTGGACTGGCTCACGGGTCTGAGGCGGGAGGAGTCGTCCCGGGCACGCAGCGGGCATTCGGGAAGTGCTGGGCCGCTGCCAGGGTCCCGGGTCGGGGTGGTGGGGTCCCTGGGACTTCCGTGACCAGCGCTAGGACCGCTCATACGCGGAGAGCGGACGGCTCTGTCCTCGTAGCCCAGGGGCAGCCTAGGCCGGGGGGGTGGTTGGGGGGCGGGTGGCTGGCAAGGCAGGCTGGCTCCTGGGGGCTCAGACACCCGGCGCGAGTGCTGAGACGGCTCTCCAGGCCGTGGGAACCACAGAAGCGTGGGGCAAGGCAGGTCCCGGGCCACGCAGGCCCCCTTTTTTTGGACAGTCATCTCCGGCCCCGCGCACAGGGAGCTGATGAGAATTGGGGTGAGAGAAAAAGTGGGGGCTGTTCTGAAAACTGTCAAGTTGAATCCTAGGTCAAGAAATCTGGGCAAATAAGGGCCCTTCCAACCTTAAATCTACTAATTTAAAGGTTCCGGGCCGGACCGGTACTCGCCATCATTTTCTGGGGCTTATTTTGTTCAGGCTCTGCTCTGAAGACGGACTGTATTCCAAGTTAAAAATGAAAATAACCTTTCTGGTCGTGCTGTGTCTGTGTCATGGCCGTTTTCCCAATGAGGACAAGGAGGCGCAGGCAGCTTAAATAACTCACCCAAGGTGATGCCCCCCCATCCCCCCAAAAGTGTGGATAAGGATAGGGACTCAGGCGGTCTGACGCCAGAGCCCTCTGCCTTCCACCTGCCAACAATACCTGTCAGCCTACCCCATACATGAATCCTCCCAGGGATTTGATTACATGCAGATTCCTAGGCTCCTTCTGTGAGAGTCTGAGTCGATAAACCCAGGAACCTGGATTTTTTTTAAAAAGCCAAAATCTGTATTTCCTGTAATAAGAAGAGACTGGGGGCCAGGGGGCAGGTGGCCAATGCTAGGTTCACAGATTGTCCCCACGCCAGCACAAATCCTGCGTGAATCCTAGCCTCTGAGAGCTGTGACTCCTGCAGCTCCCCCCAATTTGTGGGTGACCTTTTCAGAGCTGGAACATTTGTTGGGACATCAGCGCCTTTGTTAACATCCTGAAGTCCAAGGGGGAAATTGAGGCTCAGGTGTCTGTGTGGCCCAGGTCTCCGCACAGTTGGGATTCCAGACTCCTACAAAGGCCCTTTGAACTCAGCTAGGACTGGGGGGTGACAGGCCCAGCCATTCACTCACTCATTAGTCCTGGGGGCTCCTCCTGGGCATTGCTCCAGGGCTATTCAGGGCGCTGCTGTTTGCTCTCAGGGAGGTCTCCTTGTGGGGAGAAGGAGCACAGCAGGGGTGATCAGCCCCTCAGGGGGCCGTGAGACAGGCTTTGGGGAGCAGGGTCCTTTGAGCCAGCCTTGGAGCAGGAGTAGGGGAGCTTGGCAGGGGGAGATGTGAAGGGTGCTGTGTGTGGCGCCAGGGAGTGGGGAGAGGGGTGGCGAGGTGGGCCTGGCTGCATGTGGGAGGCCTCGAACGCTGTGCTGAGGAGTAGGCCAGTGTTCTACCTTTGCCTGAGCCATCAGAGTCACAGTGCAGAGTCCTGGGCCCCAGCCTGGAACCCTGGAGCCAGGTCTGGAGGGAGGCCATGGGAAGCAGCAGGGGGAAAACCACGAGCGAGTCACCCTGGTTACAGCACATCCATTTACCGGCAAGGCTGGATGACCTGAGGATTTCCACATTCTGGGCAGTGACTCAGTATTGATGGGTTTTGGCAGTAAGATCTCAGTCTCGTACAGCATGATCCTGGGGTCGCAGAAAGCCCAGGCAGGGACTGGGAGGACGTCCCCTAAGGCGTTCAGTTTCCTGATGCTTGGAGTTAGAAAGGAGCTGAAGGGAAGTCAAAGAAGTGAGGAGAGAGAACCTTTCTGGGCCCCTCCTCTCCCTCCCCCGTGTCCCTCTCCTCCCCACCCCTGCCCCAGGATGGAGGAGAGTTCGAGATCAAAAGGCCCACTGCCCTCAGGTGCCCTCCAGTGCATCTGGAAAGGGGGCGGGGACCAAGGCCCCAACTGCCTTGTTTTCTCATGTTGCTAAAATTGAGCTTTCATGTGGCTCAATGGCATCATGTTTTATACGACACTTCACACAATTTCTAACACCTCATATGTCCACAATACACATTTGTGTCTGCTGTTATCTGTCAAGACGTGTAGTCTGGCAGTTACGAGCAAGGACCCTGGAGCCAGCCTGCCCAGGTTCAGAGGCCAGGTTTGCTGCTTACTAAATAGCTGACTTCTCAAACCCTCAGTTTCCCCATTTGTAAAATTGTAGTGACTGTGCTGTTACGGTGATAATGAAACGAATTAATAAGTGTCGGCCATACAGAATGGTGCCTGGTATGGAGTAAGCACTATGGATTTTTAATACATAAATGAACCCCTTTGGATGGGGTTTCGTCTGCCCATTTTGCAACTGAGGAAACTGAGAATCAGAGACATGTGCAGTGGCTTTGCTAAGGTCCCACGTCTAGGAGTGACAGAGACAGGGAGGGATTAGAACCTGTTTTCGTTCCCAGCCCATGTTCTTTCCCACTATCCCAGTTTGCTGGGGTGACCGAGAGAGACATATTTCCCAGCATTCCCCATGACCGGCACTGTGGAGATACACCTGGTTAGGTCTGGCCAGACTTCCCTTTGCTGGCCTAGAAGAGAGGCCAGCAGCTTGCCTGGATGTTATATGAACTTGCCCTTGCAAGAGGGTGGATGGGAGGACCCCACTGGTGGTGGGAGGGTCCTACAGGACCCACCATCAGATGGGCTGTATTCCCGTTGCTTTGTCATGTTGACTTCCAGCAATTCTGCTTCTTGGAGTTAGAGGCAGAGAGAAGGGCATACAGGCTTGAAGACAGGGGACCACGTTCAAATGTGAGCTTGCTGCTTCCTACCTGTGATCCAGAAGCAGTCATTTAACCTCTCTGAATCTCAGTTTGCTTGTCAGTAAAATGGGTATTTGTGGGGGTGTGTTCATGAGATCATTTTTCTAGGCACCTTGCCCGTGGCTCAGCAATTGTTGTTTTTCTCCCCATTTAGGACGCAGTCGCGTCTCCATATCCAACACTTGGCTTCCTCATTCTGTTTTTTCTTCTAATATTTATTAAGCACTTATATGTGCCAGGCATGGTGCCCAGTGCCACGACAGCACTGGACAAAGTCCTCCCGCTCCTGGAGTTTACATTCTAGTTGAGAAAACAGGCAGCACACAAACATACACATATAGATCTACAGCCCTTGTGTATAATTCCGAAATCCACAAGCTCTTTCAAATCCCCAAAGCTTTTCCATAACTCACTTGGAAGCACAGCCCGACACTAACTAAACACGAGGCTCTTTGGGCTCTTGATTTCTCCTCTCTGGTGTGGATGCTCGCCTGTCTCTCTGCAGAGATGTTCACGTGATCGCCGCTCTGGATGTGGGGGGGTGTGCTTACGTCAGGTGGCATTTTATACAAGATGACCTTTCTCTCACCTGAGTAATTCTGAATTCGGAAACACGCCTGGCCCCCAGGATTTCATGAGAGAACGGGACCTCCAGTATCCTGTCAGGTAGCAACAGGGCTAGGAGAAAAGCAAAGCCAGGGGAGGGCGGGATTGTGGGCCTGTCTGAGGGACAAGGCCCGGAGGCCCAGAAGGATGGGCCAGGGGGAGGGTGCCACAGCACAGAAGGTCTTGTCCATCCCACCAGCCCCGCTCCCGGGCCCCCTGCTCATCCGCTGTTCGCAGTTCTGTCTCAGGGCACATGTCTGCGCCTTTCCAAGAAGTGGTGATGCGTCTGAGGTTTCATGTTTGGCTCCGACTGACTCATTCTCACTCTAGGGGCCCCCAGGCGCCTCCTCACTTCCCCGAGGTTGCCTAAGAAATCCAGGGTCTCCGCTATAGCAGGCCTGGATGCTGTGACTCTGGGGACAGTCACGAGCTGGGCCAGCCTCCGGGCCCCCTCCTCCTCCCCTCCAGAGAAAGAAGGAGGATGTGGGTCCTGGGGAGGAGAGGTTGGCCCTCAAGGGTTTGGTGGGACAGATTTCCTGAGGGGAAGGTGTGCAGTTCGGGGCGGTGGATTTGGCAAGGCCTCTGGCCTGCTGAGCTGGGTTATGAGGCTGAAAGCGACAGGCGAGGTTGAAAGCGACAGGCGTGGACATGTCTAGAGTGCTGGCATGAGGCTCACTGTTTACATTTGCTCAGCAAACACACCAGGGGCCGGAGACACGGCAGCCAGTGAAGGGAACATGAGGGCTCTTGCAGAGCAGACAGTCTAGTGGGGGAGGTGACTCCACGGAGGTGACTTTGGAGCTAAGAGCTGAAGTAAAAAGACATGTGGATATCCGGGGAAAGAGTGGTCCTGGCAGAGAGAACAGCACATGCAAAGGCCCTGAGGTGGGAACGGGCTTGGTGCGCTTGACCCACAAGGAAGCTGATACCGTTGAGTGGAATTGGGGGGCAGGAACGTAGGTCAGGGAGGTAAACAGGAGCCACATACCTGCCTTATCTCATTCAACTTGTAGAATCACCCAACTGCGTAGGACCTGCTCTTACCCAAATCGCACAGAAAGGTTTAGTAACTTGCCCAGGGTCACACAGCTGGAAGGTGGCAGAGCAGGGCTGTGAACCTGACTTCTCACAGTTCTCAGTTGTCACCACTATGTGTAAACATGTAATGGAAACTGGGCTCAAATGCTGAGGACCCACCTATTGCTTAGATTATCGTTGGTGTGCTGACCTGCCGTGGGTCAGCCCGGCAGCAGTGTGGATGTGGTCAGGCCGGGTCTGGCATCACAGATGGTCCATTTGTTGTGTGAATCAATTTACAGATCATTTTACCAGTGAGCACCTTCCCCAGGGTCAGACAATAAGACGGAGGGGACAATGGAGGAGGTGAGGACGAGCGGAGGCCCCAGTCCACAGCAGGCACGGTGCTGGGGGTAGGTGGGTAGGTGAGTGGGGGCCTCCCCATTTCC